AAAGATTTGTTCAAAATAATTTTTTTTTCTCAAAGGTAAAGTGGATGTTTTTTAACTTTAAAAGTAAAGGTGAAACTTTCACAAGTCTAAAGCCTGACAAAACTCAGTGTCATGATTTTTAAATCATTAGGAAGCAGTGCTCAGTTTTGAAAATTCACACTTTTTATTTATATTATAGAAAAATGCTACATTTTTGTGCCTTTTTCCTCTTTAGGTCAGAGTGAAAGTCATATGTATATCCTGTTGTCTTCATATTGCTAGGCATTGGTGCATACGCCAGGAAGATTAGCAATTGCTTTTTCCAGTAGCTTTGTTAAAAAAAAAGTCATAAACTGGTACCTTATCATAATAAGCATATGATTGTTTTTAACCTCTCTGAAAACATGTTTTGAACATGTTGTTACACAAACAGGTGGTTCAACAAAGTATCATCTAAAGCAGGCATCCCCAACCTCGGTCCTCGAGGCCCGCTGTCCTGCAGGTTTTAGAGGTTTCCTTGCTCCAGCACAGCTGATTTTAATTGACAGCTGATTAACAGGCTTTTGGTCTACTGCAATCATTATAATCAGCTGTGCTAAAGCAGGGAAACCTATAAAACCTACAGGACAGTGGGCCTTGAGGACCGAGCCTGGGGATGCCTGATCTAAAGGACACAATTATGTTTATGCTATGGTACTTATGTTTTATTCATTCTGAAAAAAATCTTTAGAAAACTGATTAAATTTTTAAATTCTGCAGATTAAATCATATTATAATAAATAAAAAAATATATAGTTTGTGTGCCCACTTTTTTACAAAACGCAAACTTTCCATTTCACCAGTGCTTTGTATCCACTCTATTGTCCCTTTTAAGCTTCAAGCACAGCAGGATGTGGTATTAGTCACAGTGGCACTTTTTGTGGACAAATCTAAATCTACAAAACAGTTGAAAAATACTGATTTATTTTTAACAAAATTAGCAGAAAAGCTCATTCAGTTTAAATACTTTTCGCAAGATTCCATCAAACGTGTGGTAATAGCTTTGTATGCCACCCTGTGCACAATGCCAGATAATAGACCTGTGGTTCTTAACCCTCAGGGCCACAAATTGAGCATAAAGTTGTCACTCCTCTTTACTAAGAAGAATGACATGGACACGATCAGAGTTTCTTCAGTTAATAGGGATAAAGATAAAGCAGACCTTGAAAACTTTCAACCAGTGAGAAAAAAACTGGTGAATGGTTAAATAGTGATTAGGGTTGGCTGCAGCACTAATAGAGCAGCCATTGCTCCACAGGGAGAAGCACATATATTATCCATAAAAAAGGAACATAAAGGTATTTCTGCATGAGGTCTCTACATACTCTGATATAGCATAAGCATACAAGAGTTATTAAGAAAAAAATAAAATAAAACATCAACAAACTCCTGTCAAAGGAGAGCTCACTGTTAAGGGCTGGTTGTCAGCCCTGCTACAAAAAACACCAATATGGGCCATATGTTTTATATAGAATATTTTTACGGTTTTATTTAAATGTAAATTTACAATATGTTATTGGCTACATTTGGTTTTAAGGTTTTTGTGAGGACCCAAAAGCAGAAGCTGAGAGTCAGGGGTGAGATCTCTGAAGGTTTCATTAACGATGACAGGCAGCCAAACAGTAATCCAAAAAATCCAACTTAAAAATGTTATTCAAAATAGGAATCCAAAAAACCAACATAAGAATTAAACACAAACCAGAACCATGGAGACATCAGGGGAAAACAATCATGAGGAGCCAGGGTAGGATGAAGTAAGATGAGGACCCAGCAAAGAGGGACTGCAGAGGGAGTGTATTTATGGCTGACTGAACAATGGCAGGACTAACGAGCTGATAAGGAGCAGGTGTGACTAGAGCTGATGAGGAAACTAAGGGAAAAGAAAACACAAGGGGGCAACAGAGGACAGAAAAAGAAAAACCTAAGAAACTTAAATGAATCCAGCGCACCACTAAGGCTAGACATTTATATAGTAATTTGACCGCTACATACAGTTATATCACTGTAATTCCACAGGCATTGTCACTGTGAAGTTACAACTTTTAGCTGTTATTTTGATGGACATTATTGTAAAATGCTCAAAACAACTTACAGAGACTATTGAGATATATTCCCTGTAGATTACTGTGAAAAAACAGTGAAAGTAATATAGTTAGCAACCAGTAATCTACTGTAAATTAACAATAAAAAATTTAACAGTGTAAGATTATTTTTCAAAGCAAAAAAAAGCCACATCCGTGAAATGAAACATGCATCAATAAAGTAATTAGACAAAGAGGAAGAGAGGAGCTTTAGGACTTAACTCTTCTTCAATCGTGTTGCTTTCAGATGCATTTGTTTTACCAGATAATATCAAGTGATAGTTTTGTCTAATGTAATTATTTTGTGATGATAATGTCAAGGGAAACCTCAAGGAAAAAATCTATAGATCAGAATTTTAGTACCGGTAAATCAAATTAATCTTAATCAGATGTAACCAGTACTTGTTTTTTTTTTAACTTTCATTATTACAACTATTAGTCATTTGATGACCTCTTCTGCTATTTGCTAATTTTCAAAATTCAAAAATTTCAAAATTCAGGATAAAAAAATGATCCTGGCTGCCTGTCTGGATGGCTGACTGTCTGGCCGTTTGTATCTCTGACACAAGGCTTATACGAACTAAATGTGGTCAGCTTATGGTGATGGAAGTTTTTTTTTTCTTTTTTAAGCACAGGCTCCCCTCAAGGCTGTATGCTGAGCCCCTTGCTGTTCACCATGATGACACATGACTGCATTCCCAGGTTCAAAACCAATCACATTCTGTAGTTTGCAGATGACACCACAGTGGTGGGCCTCATCAGAGACGACAACGATAAGGACTACAGAGAGGAGTTGGAGCAGCTGGTACAGAGATAACAGCCTGATCCTGAACATGGAGAAGACGAAGGAGATCATCGTTGACTTCAGTTAGAACCGGCCTAACCATGCTCCATGGACTGTTCTCCCTGCTGCCCTCTGGGAAGAGGCTTCGAAGCATCCGATGCAGGTCCAGCAGATTCCAAAACATCTTCTTCCCCAATGTAATCAGACTGCTGAATGCTGAATAAAATGAGAAAAAAATTAATGTTGGAAAAACAGTAAATCATATCTCAGTCTTATGTTTACATTTGATACGCATGTTCACATTTTATCACTACTGCACTTTAAGTAAACTGGAAATACTTGAGAGCTGTACTGAATTAAATTTCATTTTGTATGCACGCTGGGTGTACAAATTGACAATAAAGTTTGTCTAAGTAGCTAATATTGAATGTAGGTTCTTCATTTCCACATTTTATATGCAGTCAAGTTCAAATAACCTAATAATTTAGGTTAATTGTGTTTTTTATTTTATTTTAATTTTTACCTAAGATTTAATTTCGTTTATAACAGCCAGTCCACTCAGATTTTATGCTGGACATACAAACATTAATGTCTATTTACAGCCAGCATGAGGTAAAGAAGTAAACTTAGAACAACAGTGACATCTATTGGATAAAACTGTTGTAACTTCAGTAGCTTCACCATAATGGCCCTTTAGTCTAGATAAGGGAACTAATGGATTGCATTGCAGCAATCACTCCCCCTTGAAAAACACGTAGAGAGGTACCTCAATATTAGGTTTAAAAATATCTGGGTATTTTTTTTTTTTTCAACATTTCTGTAAAAAAAAAAAAAAAAAAAAAAAGAGTTTTTTTAAATTGCCGCTATTTATATTCTTTCCAGTAATAAACAAAAAGTGCTGATGATCATTTATCTTTGTCTCTGAGCTCCAAATAAGACGTTGAAACACCTTCAAATAAATAAGCTGTGGTGGATGAAGTACTCAACTGTATTACTTAAGTAAAAGTATTGATACCCATAGTTAAATCTTACTCAACTATGAGTAAAAGTTACTCAGTCAAACATCTACTCAAGTTAATGAGTATTAAAGTACTCAATTTTGAAAATACTTAAATAGTCAAAAGTACATGCATTTAAAAGTACTATAAATTTTCTAATATCAATACGTTTTTGTATTATTTTCAGAGAAATTTTAAAGAACCTTGTAACTTCCAGAAACCTACTCATGAATTGATGCTTAGAACCACTTGCTAGTAATTCTACCCTGTCTGTTAAGAACTTCATCATAAAAAATGCCACAAAAAATAAGTACAGCAATTATTATGTCTTATTTAAAAACAAACCAAAAAGAAAACAGGATTGTCTTGATTCTCCTTCCACTTTCATTATATAATAGAGGTTTAAAGATGAATCTGTCACAGCAGAAAAACTAGAACTCTGCTTTGAAAACTTGTCCCCATGGCAACAACGCCTTAATAAAATGTATAAACTACAAATAATATCTGTCCAGAGTTTCTCACATCTGTGGAATGTCACGTAAATTTCTAAAACAGTTGTGTCCAAATTCAGGCCTAAGAGCTGCTATCTTACACGTTGAAATCACGTATCAAAAAAGAAAAAAAAGCAACAGTGGATTTAAAAGCTAAGCTGAGCCACAAGTAACCAGTAACTAGGAGCTTCATCGAAATGTAGTGGAGTAGAAAGTACAATATCAGACTTTAAAATGTAGTGGAGTGAAAGTTATAAGTAGCCTCCCAAAAAATTACTCAAGTAAAGTAAAGATACTCAAAAAGTACAGTGATCAAGAAAATGTTTACTGTTACTTTCCACCACTGCAAATAAGCAATGAAAGACATTTTCAAATATATAATAAGTTTGATGGGTCATCATCATTATAGCACCTCCAAGGGTCACTATAGTATGATAAAGTTCTGTGGACCAAGATCAGAAACCTAGACTCGATTAAGAGGAGTAGGATAAAACTTAAGATAAATAAGAGACACAGACCAGAGAGTAAAGTTTAAATGCCGGCTTGTTATTGAACATATGGACAAAAGACAATGACTTACATTTAACATTTATTTTGGAATAAATCCCTTTTTGTGTTAAACCTTCTCAGTTTAATTTTAGGATATTTAATTCCTTTTGGGTCCTATCAATATAGGTTGCAACCTTTAGCTATTTTAATCTTCAGTTCAAGGTAGTTCAAGGTATTTCTCTATTTAACTCTTTTATTAATGAGTTTAGTTCTATTTATCTCAACTCTTTTAGTTTAGTATAGGTATCATTGAATTTAGACAAAATGTTGTTTTAGCATTTGGAACCAAACAATGAATAAAGAAAATAAAATACAGTCAAACTGTTACAAAACTCAAAATATTCAGCAAAAGACTGAACAAGTCTGTATTCCACAGAATAAAGTATCTTCCTTCCGATTCTGCTTGTTTTTCTTTCTCTGAATTATCAGTCCAATGTTATCCACCTGGATCCACTAGTTTGGTGGAAGGTGAAAAGATCCTACCAGTTCAGATGTAAACCATGAAACATCCAGCAGGGGGTGCAATCCTGGCTCATGCACAGTTCACACTGTGTCCATAGGGTGGCTCGCCATCTTGAATCTTCCAATTTCCAAATCCAGTGTCTAATCAACAATCCTTCATCCCAACCTAAGTTGGCCTAACATAAACAAAATAAAATAAATAACACAATACAAAAACTAGATGGGTCTAAAACTAAGGAAAAGCACATTTCTGCAGATTTCTGATCCTACATGCATGTTAAAACAGCACGGAAAAGAAAAAAAAAAAGGACAAAGCATTTACTTCCAAAAACAATGCTCTAATTTGGCTTAGAATTCACTAAACATTTACTTAGTATAAACATAGTTAGTTTACAGAAAAGAATTTGCATTGTTTCAACTCACCAAGTCCCGTTTAATCCAGTACACAAACCATCAATACTATGAGGTGCCCCCAGGGACATAAATCAGAATTAACTTGCATATACACATATTAAATTACACTCTTGCATATAATATACTGAAAACCTCACACAAACACTAGTAAAAAGCTCTCACATAAACTAGTGAAAACATTGTCCTCTTATATAATCTACTCAAAAGCTCTCATACAAAGTAGTGAGAACTGTTCATATAAACTGGTGAAAAGCTTTACCTTTCATACACACTACTAGAAAGCTTTCATATACACTATTAAAAAGCTCTCATATACACTACTACAACGCTCTCATATACACTATTAGAAAGCTCTCATATACACTATTAGAACGCTCTCATATACACTATTAGAACGCTCTCATAAACACTATTAGAACGCTCTCATATACACTATTAGAACGCTCTCATTAACACTATTAGAACGCTCTCATATACACTATTAGAAAGCTCTCATATACACTATTAGAACACTCTCATAAACACTATTAGAACGCTCTCATATACACTATTAGAACGCTCTCATTAACACTATTAGAACGCTCTCATATACACTATTAGAACGCTCTCATAAACACTATTAGAACGCTCTCATAAACACTATTAGAACGCTCTCATAAACACTATTAGAACGCTCTCATAAACACTATTAGAACGCTCTCATAAACACTATTAGAACGCTCTCATAAACACTATTAGAACGCTCTCATAAACACTATTAGAACGCTCTCATAAACACTATTAGAACGCTCTCATATACACTATTAGAATGCTCTCATATACACTATTAGAACGCTCTCATATACACTATTAGAAAGCTCTCATAAACACTATTAGAACGCTCTCATATACACTATTAGAAAGCTCTCATATACACTACTAGAACGCTCTCATAAACACTATTAGAACGCTCTCATAAACACTATTAGAACGCTCTCATATAAACTATTAGAACGCTCTCATACACGCTACTAGAAAGCTTTCATACACACTATTAGAAAGCTAAAATATATGGTCCCCCTCCTTTAATTTAGGCAAACATTGCTCAAATATCACTGAATCCAGATGGTTTGTTGTTGATGAAGAGAGGAATAAACACAGTTTAAGATTTGCAGCTAAATTAATTTGTTTCTATATTATGGAACTGCTATCAGGCACTTCCCATCATCTTATATCAGTAATAAAAAATTATAAATACAAATTTGGTATTTGGTGACTTGACTTTTATTTCTGTCAGGCTGAAGTGAAAAAAACTTGGAAAGAGACTGATTCTCTTGGCGTTTAAAATAACAACACAAAACAGCATAAGAAAACCGCATTTATTTTTTTTATTTTACAATTTTGTAAACAACAGCGGCTGATTAAACTAAATTTCTCACCTTGTATAATTTTACGACTTTTTATTTAACCAAGAAATGATCCGAAAGGCCTGGGAAATGATCAGATCCGCTTATGTGGCTTCAACGCGCGGCGCGCTCCCGACACAGGTGGAACAGATTTTCACATGGGAACAGAATTTCGCACAACACCGGAAAAGGATCTCTGTTGAAGCAAAAACATAAAAAATAAAGTCGAGTAATGCCCATGCTTCTGTGAGTTGTTTAGCGGATAGCTGAGCATGAATCAATAATTTTATTTGATACAATTTCGGCCGGAGATAGCACAAAATGTACGGAGCTAGCCAGAATGACATCCGTTTAAAACAACTTCCGGTGTAATGACGGTCCTTCCTGTTTCACTGAAACGCCTTCCGTTTCAACTGAAACACCTTCCGTTTCAACTGAAATCCGCTAATAGCTTTTCAGTAGTGTGTATGAGAGCTTTCTAGTAGCGTGTATGAGAGCGTTCTAATAGTGTATATGAGAGCGTTCTAATAGTGTATATGAGAGCGTTCTAATAGTGTTTATGAGAGCGTTCTAGTAGTGTATATGAGAGCTTTCTAATAGTGTATATGAGAGCGTTCTAATAGTGTATATGAGAGCGTTCTAATAGTGTTTATGAGAGCGTTCTAATAGTGTTTATGAGAGCGTTCTAGTAGTGTATATGAGAGCTTTCTAATAGTGTATATGAGAGCGTTCTAATAGTGTTTATGAGAGCTTTCTAATAGTGTTTATGAGAGCGTTCTAGTAGTGTTTATGAGAGCGTTCTAGTAGTGTATATGAGAGCTTTCTAATAGTGTATATGAGAGCGTTCTAATAGTGTTTATGAGAGCTTTCTAATAGTGTGTATGAGAGCGTTCTAATAGTGTATATGAGAGCGTTCTAATAGTGTTTATGAGAGTGTTCTAATAGTGTTTATGAGAGCGTTCTAATAGTGTTTATGAGAGCGTTCTAATAGTGTTTATGAGAGCGTTCTAATAGTGTATATGAGAGCGTTCTAGTAGTGTATATGAGAGCTTTCTAATAGTGTATATGAGAGCGTTCTAATAGTGTATATGAGAGCTTTCTAATAGTGTGTATGAGAGCGTTCTAATAGTGTATATGAGAGCGTTCTAATAGTGTTTATGAGAGCGTTCTAATAGTGTTTATGAGAGCGTTCTAATAGTGTATATGAGAGCGTTCTAATAGTGTATATGAGAGCGTTCTAATAGTGTTTATGAGAGCGTTCTAATAGTGTATATGAGAGCGTTCTAATAGTGTATATGAGAGCGTTCTAATAGTGTTTATGAGAGCGTTCTAATAGTGTTTATGAGAGCGTTCTAATAGTGTTTATGAGAGCGTTCTAATAGTGTTTATGAGAGCGTTCTAATAGTGTATATGAGAGCGTTCTAATAGTGTATATGAGAGCGTTCTAATAGTGTATATGAGAGCTTTCTAATAGTGTTTATGAGAGCTTTCTAATAGTGTATATGAGAGCTTTCTAATAGTGTTTATGAGAGCGTTCTAATAGTGTATATGAGAGCTTTCTAATAGTGTATATGAGAGCGTTCTAATAGTGTATATGAGAGCTTTCTATTAGTGTTTATGAGAGCGTTCTAATAGTGTATATGAGAGCTTTCTAATAGTGTATATGAGAGCGTTCTAGTAGTGTATATGAGAGCTTTTTAATAGTGTATATGAAAGCTTTCTAGTAGTGTGTATGAAAGGTAAAGCTTTTCACCAGTTTATATGAACAGTTCTCACTACTTTGTATGAGAGCTTTTGAGTAGATTATATAAGAGGTCAATGTTTTCACTAGTTTATGTGAGAGCTTTTTACTAGTGTTTGTGTGAGGTTTTCAGTATATTATATGGAAGAGTGTAATTTAATATGTGTATATGCAAGTTAATTCTGATTTATGTCCCTGGGGGCACCTCATACAATACAGAGTCCGGTTGCTTTGCAAAACACCAGTAGCTCAAAACCGGAAAACAAAAAAATATCTTCTCTGGAGTGAAAACAAAAATACTTTCATTGGAGTGAAAACAAAAATATCTTCTTTGGAGTACCAAAATGTACTTTTCAGGATTAGACTGAATTTCTCCACTTGCTTCTCTGCTCATTTTAATGCAGCACTTTGTGTGTGTCTCACCAACATGGGGAATTCCCGCAACGATCTGATTGGATGCAAGTTGCTGCAGAGGCTTTAGAACAAAATGCCCTTCCTAATAGAAATCTACATGGGTTTCAACCATTTAATAATGTAAATAATTATTTTGGATGTTTGTTTGTTTTGTTTTTTAATCAAATAATATACAGTAAAATGAAATAAAACTTTTTAGATATTTTTAGATATATTTTACCATATTAACTAATTTATTGACTTTTTATCTTAAGCATTTATTGTTGTTTTTATTAACACTTTGGTGGCTCTGTTAACCTCTGGGTTACATCATTATTTTACAAAAATTAGTAAGACATGTTTTAGATCAGGGACATTTTAAAGGAGTTAGCCACCAGCTTCATCCACGGTCTGTTTGCCTGGACTTCAACTAAATTAAGACGGCGATAGACAAAAAATCTTACATGAGTGCTAAAGTACATGAGTACATGAGTGTTAAAGTATATGAAATACAAACATTGTTCTTTTAAACAGGAAAGACTTATAGATGATAAAAGAAAATACCTGTCAAAAAGTGCAAATATTACACAAAGTTTTGGATTGACATGTTTTTCAGTTGTTTACTATCGAAATATAAACCCTGTTACGACATTTTAAATTAAAATCTAAATAAAACATTTATGATTCATTTTCAAAACTGGCACTACTTATTAAATTTTCTTCATGCCTGTTTCATTTCCAGTACGCAGCAAATATCTTGGTTGAAAGAAAGCCGAAAGCAACTCCAAATCCTAACCTTCCCACTGGTAAGAATGTGACTTTTGTTATATGCTGTTGGATACTGTTATAGTTATGTGAAACTCCACATTTTTGCTGTAAAACTAGCTCTAATGTTCCAATAAGTGAAATTGAAATTATATTCCTTCATATTATTGCCTTACGATCCACATCCTATTTAGCTTTCACATTTCTGCAAGAAAACAGGCCTGCATTGAATTAAAAACAGTGGCAATGTACCTTCTTTTTGGACTGAATAGAGAACTTAGCTCACCTCTGCAGTTTTCTGAAGCATAAAAAACATCTGTTTTCTCAGCAAAAAAATTAATGTTTTATGATTAAGAACTACAGGAGAAAAAAAAAATCAGTAAATTCAGCAGGGAATCAACTACTGTACATATCCACTAATATTAATAGGCCATGAACAGCTTTATAGACTTGACTAAATTTAAAAAAGGAGCCTACTGCGTAAAAAACAAAACAAACCTCACATTGCTAAATTATAAATTACCTGGCTCTCTTTGTCTATTTTATAATGCGCATTATGACCCAAAACATATTTTTCACACCAATGGCTTATGAGGTTAAGAGCAAAATTGAAAGACGTAGTTCAAAAGTTCAACTATTATTAATTTTAAAGTTACACTTATTAAAAAGAGAGGCAAAATGCATTCTTATTTGTTCATCTTTCAAGAAGTAGTATCAAAAGATATTTTATTATTTAAGATATTTATTATTTATTTGCTTTT